CGTATTTAGCAAATACGTTTTCGTAAGAATAAAAAAAAGGTAGGAGGATCCCAGATTCGGGACTCGAACCCGGGTGGGCAAGTCCGTTATCTCTGGACGCACCTCGTTACCATTGGGCCGCACTAGGCTATCGCTGAAAGTTTTGCACAACTTTTGTTGTTATCTTTCAACTTCAAAATTTTTTATAGTATATAATATTGTTAATATATTGTATATACATATATATTATAATTTGACATATAGTATATATCATATAGTAGATAATAGTATATATATTATATAGTATATATATTATATATTATATAGTATATAATTAGTACAATTATAGTTTATATCTTATATCTTATAGTTTATATCTTACAGAAAACGTATTTGCTGACGACTGAATTTTTAGTTTATAGGAAGACGACTGAATTTTTTTTTGTTATATCTTACAGAAAACGTATTTGCTGAATACGGTTTCTGTAAGATTTAATTGTAAACCGTATTCAGCAAATCGAACGCCGCTGCGCCGCGCCACTGCCGCCGCGCCACCACCTCAACTGCAAATCGAACGGATCAATTAGGTAAAATGCCTAATTTTTTTTTAATTTTTTCAATAAATACGAATTATCATAATACGTTTTTAAGTTAGGATTTCATTATAATTTGATGTTTTAGAGTGTTAGGGTTGATTAGAATTAGGGAATTGATTAGAATTAGGTGTTTCGATTTAGGATTTGTTTAGAATTAGGGATTTTTCGGAATTATGACGTTAGGGTTTCGATTTAGAACTTCGAATTAGGACTCGAAACTATAATGTTGTTGATAATGTGAAATTGTGAAATTGTGAACTATTGTGTGTACTATTGTGTGAATTAGTGTGTGAAGTTCGATTTTTCGGAATTAGGACTACAAATTGGACTTCGAATTGTGAAATTGTGGACTCGATTAGAATTAGGTGTTTCGCGAGTGTAGCCGAGAGCCGAGGCCGTTTGATTTCCATTATTTCGAGCCGATTAGTTTATTACGGAAGAAGCTAAAATGGAATTTAATTGAATTGAAATAAATTAAGTTGAGTTGCAAGTTATATTGAGCCTATTATTTTTCTAATAAATTACATATAATACTATTATTTTTTTCTTAATTGTTTGTATATAAATGGATTCATCATCCTCCTCACAGCCTCAGCAGTACAGTGTCCATCCCGGTCCGAGGGATGGCACTCTTCTATATCTCCAGTACCGCCACCGGTCGCAGGCGGTATATAATAATGCGCCGGGAGCTCGTGACACGACGCTCTCAAACCGCCGTTTCGACACTCAGTTCTGGGTGGCTTTGTCAAGCCAGCCACGGTCGGTTTGGGATGTCATCGACCGGACTGGTTTCGGACCCTTGTTTCGAATGGGTCAAATCCAAGCTGACAACAGCCTCCTTACTGCTCTCGTGGAGAGGTGGCGCCCAGAGACGAATACCTTCCATTTCGATTTCGACGAGGCCACCATCACGCTCCAGGACGTACAAGTCCTGTTCGGTCTGCCAATCATTGGTGCTGCTGTTGTGGGAGTGACTAGAGATCTAACACCCCTACAGTGGCGAGAGAGGTGCAAGGAGTTGCTAGGGTACCAACCCTATGTCCAGGTATACTTTTTCATAGAATTTTGTTTAAATATATGTCAACTCAATTTTATCGTTTTAAATATGGAAAAACAACTCTCAGGATCCTCCCACCACCGAGGAAGAGCAGGCAGCCCAACATCCAAAATCTTGGGACATTAAAGGCCAGTATCTTAATGATGGCGGGTTGGAGGAGGAATGCAACCGTGTGTTGCAAGAAGGCCAACCAGACATCGTGTACGAGCAGAGGGCGAGGGCCCTTATCTTCTGGTGCATTGGGTCCTTCATCTTCCCCGACCAGCGGGCGAATGGCGTCCCACTTTACTGGCTGGACCTGCTGCAGGACATAGATGCTGTTAAGGGGTACAGCTGGGGTTCAGCGCTCTTGGCCGGAGTGTATAGAGCGTTGTCAACCTCGTACAAGGCCAAGGAGAAGTGGCTGAAGAACTGCGTTCAATTGATCCAGGTAAGTTTATTTAATTGTTATTTGAAAATTTAATATTTTATTTTTTCTTACTTCGACTAATACCTAATACAAAAATTAATATCCATTTGTGTAGGTTTGGGCATGGGAGCATATCCCTCGTATTCGCCCAATAGTGAAGACCAGTGTGTTTGATAATCTGCCTGGTTGTCCATTGGGAGCGAGGTAATCACCGTTATTTTTATTTAATCCGTACATTTTTTCCATTATCAAATTTTGTGATTACAAACTTTTTTTTCTCTCTAATTTTTTTAAGGTGGAAGGGACCGAAAAAGAGGTCCAACATAGCCATGACATTGGCCGCTTACCGGGATCAGTTGACAGGGCTGGGAGAGTATGATGTAATATTCTTAATTCCTATTACTTGATTTATCTTTCTTTTTTTGTTTCTAATTTTGTAATAACTTAATTACTAATTCAATTGTTATTTTTTTACAGTTCGAATGGCAGCCCTATCAACAACACCTGCAGAATGATACTCTCCCGGAGGCGTGCTCAAGAGATCCACAAATATGGATGTACCGGGGGTGGATTTTCAGTTGGAACACCCGGGAGGTACACCTGCCTGACAGGGTCCTCCGTCAATTTGGGTGTCGCCAGTCCATCCCCCACGATCCGATCATTCTGGATGAGCGCGACTGGGACACACACCATAAGGGTCAGGGGATGACTGGGAGGGCGTTTTATGATTGGGCTGCATTCCATGTGCCGTTTCTGAGGTCGTGGACAGAAGAAATAGAACAACGTCTCCTCCCAGTTGCCCCCGTGCACGACTATCCACAGCCAGAGCAGGGTTACCTTGAATGGTTTCACAGCAGGACTGTGAGATTCATCAATAACCCTGCCAATTACCCGGTGTTCCAGCAGGCGGGCGGGTATCAGCCACTTGCCGAGCGGTTAGGCTGTCAGGTAATAGTTCATTATTTGTGTTTATTATTATTATTATTATTTTTTATTTTTTTTTATTTTTTTTTTTTTTTTTTGCGTTTCGTATTAATTATTATGAATTTTATTTACAGACTTCTGCACTACAAGGGGTTTATGGCGCATTATCCGATATTCAACCATTAATGCCTCAAATCCCTCCAGAAGCGCAGACCGGCTTAGGAATAGAGCGATTGTTCCAATCAGAGAAGCCACAGTCGTACAACTTTGCCTACTCTTCTATGACTGTTGGGGGCCAGGGTGTTCCACATGGGGGGCCGCCCAGTCAAGTTTTCTCCCAGGACGAATACGTTCCCCCCATGAGGACACAGTCACACACGGCCAGGCATCAACCCGCCCCCAACATTGGTGGGGGTAGAAGAGCTTGGGCCCGTCCCCGCGCTCAGTCGTCCGCCCAGCACCTCCAACCTGAGCAGCCCGAGCCTCAACAAGGTGAGATTTTTAAATTAGCAATTTTTTTTTTATAGTTCAATTTATAATTTTTTTTTTTCAATTGAATTACTCAGATGAAGAAGAGGAAGATGAGCAGGTTTTTCAAACTGACACGCTTCTCACACCTCAACCTTTGTCTTCTTCTCACGTGGTATATACTCGGAGGGGGTCCAGAGCGCGCAAACCTACACAACCATACACTCCTTCCTAGTTAGTTGTGTTGAATTTGTAGATTTTGTGTTTATTTTGAATTGTTGGATTGTCTGTATAAATCGAATTATATCGTGTTGTATATATTGTTTGTTCGGCAAATTATTGTGTTTCATTTATTTGTTCGGCAAATTATGGTATGATGGATTTGGTTGTGAGCAGGTATATTTTTTGGTTGTGAACAGGTGTATTTTTTGGTTGTAAACAGGTGTATTTGATTGTGAACAGGATTTTGTATAAAAACGTATTTCACTAATACGTTTTTTAATTTTTTAATACAAAAAACGTATTTCATAAATACGTTTTTTGTTGAAATTTAGGTCAAAATCAATTTGGGCTAAAATTAGGGCAAAGAAAACCAATTTGGGGCAAAATTACAAAGAAAACGTATTTAACAAATACATTTTATATTTTAATTTTTTTTTTTTAAAAAAAAAATTCATGAAAATGATTTTATAATATTAAATAAATTTTAATATAAAACCGTATTTATTTAATACGTATTGTAGTTTTTTAATTTAAGACGTATTCAACAAATACGTTTTTATATAGTTTAATTACGTTAATTACGTTAATTAACTTTAATAATTTTTGTTTTCGTAGAACGTATTCACTTAATACGTTTTATAATGCAAAACGTATTTCGTGAATACGGTTTATAATGGAAAACGTATTTACTGAATACGTGGTTTCTATTTTGGTCCAGTATATATATATATATATTTTTTTTTTGTCCACTTCATTTTTTTTTTCAGGAAATAAATCGAACAGCCGTGCTGTAAATGATTAAATGAAAATCATACCCAAAAAAACAAAAGGTCTAACAGTAAGATCTACATCATCATATTATTTAAAATAAAAATATATAGCAATATAGTATTGCTATGGAATATTATATTTTCAATAGATATATTTTTAAAGTATAGTAATATTTAAATTTAAAAGTACATACATTTATATATATGACGGAATAACATTAACATGTTGAGTTTGTCTAACGGCAGTTAAGTCATAAAAAATACTTTAAAACATATATTAAACAATGGAAAAAAAAATTCACCAGTCATAAAAAATACTTTAAAACGTATTAAACAATGGAAAAGAATTCACCTAAGAAAAACGCCTAGTTTGGGAGACTAATTTTTATGGGAATCTAAATCCTTTATTAATTGTGCCAAATTAAGATTCAAACTAGCGGTGCGATTTATGACAAATAATATTAAAATTATGTTTATAAATTAAATAATGAATTGCGTATGTTGATAATGATTAGTTACCAAGTTAGTCTGTGCATAAAAAGGTTAACATAATGTAAGAATTAAGCCCCCAAATCCTAGATCCCTAATTCCCGATCTGTTTTGGCCTCCATACCGGCGCGTGTGTCGTTCCCAGCTGCGCGGACCTGCACATGGTTTTCCCTGGTCAGCCTGTTCCTCGGCGGGTTGGTGGTCGCCCACTTCGCGTGGGGTTCTTCCTCTTTCGGGATGCCATGGCGAAAGTTAGGATGTGGTCGTTGACTTAGCGGTGGAGGGGTTGGGCTGGTGGTTGCTTGCGGCCGTCGGATTCAGGCCTGAGCCTCGGTCTCCCTGTTTTCAACTGTCCCTGGTGTTAGGACGCTGGATCTCCCCGGGCGGTGGCGGTTCTTGTGGCTGCAACAATGGGGGTATGGTGAGGGCAGGGCCGGCCCTGGCCCAAGGCGGCCTGGGCAACAACCCAAGGCCCAATTCAATAAAGGGGCACCAGACCGACCCATTCATATTATGCCTTTTATCATTTTTATTTTATTTTTGGAAATAGAGAAGAAAATGAAGTAAGACCATACTAATACCATCCAATTAAAGCCAGAAGGATTACACCCACATTTATTACATAGAATCTCTCTCCAATATTAAAACTAATTAAAATGGGTCTTTAACTTTTTTTCTTCCCTCATTGAATTGTTCTACTTTCACACTCTTCAGACCAGTCGTGTGAAGTGTGATGTTATACATTTCTCTCCCCCTGTTATTTATTAGTATAATTTTTTAAGTACCCTATTTATTTTATTTACTTTTGAAAAAAAAAATTATTTATATTTACTTTTCAAAAATTATATTATTTTTTGCTAGTAGTTATAATTATTTTATAGTTTAGATTTGCTTCACTAATTAAAATTTTTTCAATGAAGTTTAAAGTTTTTTTTAATGTATATTTAAATATATTTAGTAATATTTAATGAAAACATACACTATCTTTTAAAATGTGACATCATGTCATTATTTTTTATGGGTGCAATGATTTTTTTATTGGATTTGCTTGTAGTTGCTAGCTTTTTTTCTGAGGTTGCATTTTAGTTTTTTAAGTTATATAATCCTATTATTTAATTTTTCGAAAAAAAATGGTTATGAGTTCTATTATTTTTTTTGTTAAATAATACTCGGGCATTATTTTCGTGTTTGGCCCAGGGCCTTATAATGTTCAGGACCGGCTCTGGGTGAGGGAGGACGTCGATTCAGGCTTTCTGGGGCTGACCAAGGTAGTAAACTGTGGGGGAGCTTGGGTTTGCCAACCCGAGTCGAGGTATCCGTTTTTGGTGTTTCTCGATTCGGTGCACGGTTGGTGTAGCTTTTCAATCTGTTTTGTTGCCTCGGTGTTTGCTTGTGTTGTGTCAATTTGGTAGTGGGGAGGGATTTTGTTTTAGTGTTAGCCTAACTTTAATTTTTATCCATATTTTTTGCTTCTCTCTAGTTCTTCTTGGCCATAGTGGAGTTGTTTTGTCTCCACTTGTGGGAGTTCTTTTTCTCCTGTTTGGGAGTGTGTTCTCTCTTTGGGAGTTTGGTTGGGATGTTTGTTCTTTGGTTGGATCTAGGCTGCCCTGTTGTATGCCTCTCAACTAGTTTCGGCTGTTGGCCGATTTTATCGGCTGGTGGCCGTTGACTAGTATGTACTTGCTTTGTTATATATATAGTTTCTATCGTTGGAAAAAAAATATGTAAGAACTAAGCGATCGCAGCAGAAAATGAGAGTATTTATTGCTCTTTTTGAGTATTTGTTCGTATGCAATTTGATGATTAGTTCTAGAACATGTCCAATACATAATATTTATACAGTGTTAAATAGAAAGGGCAATGGTTGCCATATGCCAGCTAAGAGTGTGGATGTCAAACACGTGTTTGAAAAAGTCACATGCACGAGGACACGTGTTGGTGCTGCTTTTGATGATGGGACTGATTGGACGGTTGTTTTTCCAGTTTTTGTTCGCATTGGATCGTTAGACCAACATTGGATACTTGTAGATGGATTGTAAACTGTTTGGTGAACGGATCGTCATGTAGGGATGGCAATGCAGGTCGGGTCTGGTAGTTGCGGATCCGGACCTGCCCTACCTGGCCCACGACCCGCTACGGGTCCAGCAGGTTAGGCCCGTTCCCTGACCCGATTTGGGGCGGGTCTGCCCGCCCCAACCTGTACCCGCACTTTTTTTTATTATTATTATTTACACAATCATCATATTAAACATTATACATTATACATATATAGGGATTAATTATGAAGAGAAGTTTACCTTATATGTAGAAAAACTCAACGCCTTCCTTAATTATATATGTTGTGTACAATTTGTTATATTTTACCGAGTACCGAATCAATGATTCGTTTCCCGGGTCGATCTCTCGAGGAAGGCGGTTCGAAATTTAGCTTTGGTATCGATAACACACAAAAAGAAAATAAATTCTAAACACTCTAATCTGAATGGGGGTCGAATAATTAGCAACTAAGAAATAAAAAAAAAAAATAATATTCTACCTAAAAATATATACAAAACAAAGATGGAGAAGCTAGGGAATCGGAGATAATCAATTCAAGTTCTGTTAGCAAAATCGGGACATTAATCGTTCGATTCGAGATTGATACTCTCGTTTAAATATCTAGCATTTCGCTCCCAATAACTCTTCGTAACAAGAGATTGATCATAGACGGGCAAGTTTGAACATACAACACAAGCCAATTATCCCAATCCCAATAACTTTTCATAACAAGGGACGGGTCATCGACGAGCGTGTATTTCAATCCAAAACCATAGACTATTCAATTACGAAATTATCTACCTCATGCGAGCCTAGGTCTACGACTTCTCCCCTTTCGGTTCTACAAGTCGTTAATTCAATTAGAAGGTATTAATCAACTAATCATGTAGAATCAACAAACCCTAACTCAACAAATCAATATTCAATCATTTCAATCGCAAAATCGAAGTGTCTCTTCGATTATATCAATAAATTAACCTAAGTGTCACTCTTAGGTTATATCAAATTATCAAGCGAGAATTCATCAATTCTTAATCAAATTAACTCGCACAAGAACAAACAAATCAAGCCTGACAGATACGAATTAAACAAGAACAATTATCCCATATCCCTAGCAATAAGAATTAGCTACGTAAAATCAATTCAACACAATTCATCATTCTCCTCAAATAAACCATTTTCATGAATTAATCAAAAGAGAAAGACTTACAATCAATCCCAAATTCGAGTGTTGAGTCTGAATTACAAGCTTAATTCCTAAGTACTATGAAGAAGAAGAAGAAGAAAAATGGCAAAGAAAGATAAAGAAAAGGTGAAAAAACGAAGAAGAAAAAGAGGGGAAGAGAAAAGGAGTTTCGTGGTTTTTACGGCCTAAGGTTCATCCCCAGAAGGGGAGAATTGATTTTAATCGAGGCCCCGTACATGTATATATAGTCCCGCAGGAGTCACGGCGTGAAGAAACGTAGCGCGGCGCGAGCAATCAAGTTGCCGCGGCGCGAGGAGTGTGCCGCGGCGTGACGGGCTGTTGCTGGGCTCTCTGTCCAGGCGTGGCGCTGGTCGCGGATGGCACCACGGAGCGAGAAAAAGGGGTGTCGTGGCGTGGGATGTCTTCACGGCGCGGAGGGAGCTGGTGTTGCGCCGCGGAAGTGTTGCCGCGCCGCGGCACGCGGGACTGCTGGCACACTTCACTTCTCGAGCTCGTTTGGACTCGTCCGAACTCGGAATTCAATTCCGTTTTTTCCTGCGCGTAGCAACGAAGTTCTCTATTTATTGATGCTTTCTTGGCCAAATTATTCTTGAAATTATATTCTCCCAAAGTTGTTGACCTACACACCATAAACGAAGAAAAACCGGAAAAACATACGGAAAACACAAGAAAACCCAAGATAGAGGAAAACATGCGATAAACTATAAAACGAGATAAAGACTAACTAAAAGACCTAATATGGGGGAAAAAGAAAGACAAAATCATAACGAAAAACGCAACAAAAATGGGACAAACAATATACATATATTCAGTCTTACATTATATAGTGAGATTCTTCAAACTTCCTAATATATCATGAGATTTTTACATTATACATATATTACCTGCACCTATTTCTTAATTTAATTAGTTTATATATTATATATAATGTATAAGAAAATTAAATCCAGGGCAGTTAGATAGGGTTGTAAATTTAAAAATGTTGGTGGAACTTTTTGTTTGTTAAATGTATAATATTTTATAATTAATGTGCAATAAAACTAAAAAAAATGTATATATAATTGATTAAAAATTCAAAAATATGTGAGCGAATAATGAATTTTGTGAAAATAATGTAGTAGTGATTGATTTTATTTTTAATTATACTAATGAATTAAGAAGAAAAAGGTAAAATTTGATGAATAGTAGAATTTTTAGGAAAAAATCATGATTTGAATGTTAAAAAGAAAATTACCTTATGAGATGAAATGAAAATAAATTTTATATCCGGTGGTATCTAGTTCTCTTATCTTTAATACAAGTTAGCTGAAAAAAAAAAAATAAGTTGATTGTATATATGAATAATTGACTTTTCAAACTTAATGCTTATTTGATAAATGTGATTTATGTTATTAAATTAAAACAGTGGAGCGATAACTATTAAAATATTATGATTACACTCAAACTATATTATACTTTAAATTAAGTTGCTTGGTGCAACAACAATATATTGGTAAGACTTATAACATTTTTGGGTAACCTAAAATTATAATTTATGTTTTTATATATCTCTCAGTAAATTTCTATTTCTAAATTTAAATAAGCGTGTCCACCGGTTCAACTCATATGTTCTAAAATATTTTCTATTTTTTAAATAAGTTAGCTATTTTGTTAATTAATAAAATCATATATATTGATATTTTGTTATTCATTTTATCATTTATAATTCCTATATGAGTTATATATATGTAATGTCTCGTTCCATTGTAAATTTGTTGGTGTTTACTAATGGATTTTTTCCGTCATTATTTGCCAACGGAATACAAAGATATAATTTTCTGTTGCTATATATTGCTAGTATTCTGTTGGTAATCCGTTTTAAAAAATTGTATATGTAATACATTGTTAATCCGTTAGTAATCCTCAATGGAAATATTTCCGTTGGTAAATTCTGTTGGCTTTTTGACAATTTCTGCACCAAATTGAAGTCTATGATCGCATAATGCTATTATGTAATTAAAAATATATATGTAAAACAGAGGCAAATCTCATCATTTGACCGCATATGCTTGTATGAATTATATATATTACTTCATGTATATTAAAAAAGAATATTCAAGGATACTTCATTAATTTTTTTTTTTTTTTTCCGAAATGATAGAGCATTTTATAGCACTGAATGTATACAAATACAACCCGAGAACCAACTGATTCTATTACAAGAGAGGCACCCACACACGGATGCTCTAAAAGAACAACTGAGACTCAAGAACATAACACACACTGAACCTAATACACATGCTAAGGCCAGAGATGAATCTGTAACCATTAGCACCATATGTAGCTCAGAATTATTATGGATTTGAGAAAAATTATTGTGACAATTATTGCATTTTGGGTCTGAGAATGAGTTTGGATTGGAAATGGCCTTATAGGTGAATTTTCTATAATACTTCTCATGGACTGAGAAATTTGTAGTTTCAAGGAATTCAATTGAATAAATTTCAAACTCCCAGAATTTCAACTTTGCTATTTTAAAAAATCCACAAACCCAAATTCCTCTATCCAAACGCAGTGTAAACACTTTGGTCCACATTTTTTTACGGCAGTGATTGCAAGAACTAGTACATGACAGTAGATAGTTAATAGACAAAGAGCATTGTAGCAGTAAATGGCAACTCAGGCCAACAGACCCAATTGAGGTATTTGAGAAGATGACGAGTGTACAAATAGATATATGCTCTAGTCCATGGAATCAAAACTTGGAGCATACCACCCTAATTCATTTACAATCTTTTTCAATCTATCTTCCTCACCTTTTGAGTCCCCAAAAGCTGTTGTGAAGGGATATACATATGTTACCTTGGTAGCCATAGCTCTAAATGAAACAACATCTCCATTTACTAAAAACTCCAAAACATCTCGGCCAAATCCTACATCCACCTCAGCTTTCAGATATTTACCTGCATTATTGTCAACTTTTCATTCATGAATGATAAAATGAGAAAATTATTTAAGGTCTGATTGGATATAGATTTGACTGGCTTATTATTGGTTTTTATTAATCATTGTTAATTTTTAAAAAAAGTGGTATAATTAGTTGTTAGTGGGTATTTAACAGTGTTTTGAGACCCGGATCGACCCGGTGGGTCGACCCGAGACCCGGAGCCGGAACTGGTCCGGGTGGAGTATTTGGACCGAGCAACCAAGGACCCGGAACATTTAATTTTGTTACTTTTATGTATATTTATATAACAAAAATACTCTATATATAATTTTAAAAATTTTAAAATTAATTATCCGGTTCAGCAATTGACCCGGTGACCCGACGATTGAACCGGTGACCCGGTGACCCGAGGACCTGCCCGGGTCGATCACCGGGCCGGGTTTAAAAACTATGGTATTTAAGTTTAAATTAAAATAATATTTAAAATAAAATAATCAAAGTTGATTTGATATAAAAATAGGAGAAAAGTGATTGGAAGTGATGGTTAGTTAAAATTATGTAAGTGGATGAATAGTGAATTAAAAGTTGATATGATGTGTAATAATGATTGGTTGATATTATTTAATTATATAGATAATATTGAGGATAGTAGGGTTGTGTGAGATTTGATTGGTTTTTTCTTTTAATTAAGTTTATAACCAGTCACATTTATGCAATTGCATTGTTCTTTGGATTATTTTCTGACAAGAAAAAACGAGTATGTGAGAATGTAAGTGTTAAATTGGAAACAAAAGGACGGATAACGCTTGTTCCCGTAAGAATATAAATATCCCAACTATCGTAACAAGTCTTAATACATAGATTTCTACAACTGGTAGATGAATTACTCTTAAGTTCCACAACTCATCACCAAGTCCAACTACCCCCCATATTTAATTGCCTTCACTAATATGTCAAAGTCACGAAGTACTAACCATTAGGCGTGTCTTCAACAGGCTGAATCTTGACATTCTTCAGTGTTTTCAAGAGTGCATCTTGTAATTCCTGAGGGAAGTCAATATTTTTAGTTCCCTCCAAATTAAATGCAGAGGAAGAAAAAAAAAAAGCAACTAAATGAACCTGAATGGCCACACTTTCTGAAGAATAGCCTGTTATCCTCCACGGAAATGCGAAATTTGACGATTTGGGATTACTGGATACGCAGCTTGGATTTATAGAAGGGCAAGCTCTGATTTTTCTGCAGTGAAAGTTTTACGACAGGTTGAGTCAAATGGAATCCTGTGAACCACATTTGTGGATTAACTACATCTGCCCTGTTTTGACATCATACTTTTTCTTTAAGTTAGTTGAATCCATAACTACCTCTGAATATTAACTTTTTCATTCATTTCAAGAAAGATAAGTTTCACCATTCTAACACGAGTATGAATAGGGGTCAGGCCCAGGCCCCATGGCAGACCTAGGTAATGCAGGCTTAAGAAAATCGAGTTTTGGTAGTTTAAAGGAACTACACGGTACAAGGATCCAACTCTATCAAGCGGTAAAAATTTTGTAACAGCTTCTTAGATATTGAACTCCATGAAATATATACTGCAACATGTACTTTTCGATATAGTAAAGTGAAACATTGTTATGACCATACAAATTAAACAAGTGCAGAAAACAAACCTAATCCATTTAACGAAGCAGCATATTTTTGCAGGACAAACAAATGTAGTAATCAAAACTATTTTTGCCGCTGCATAAGGAAACAAAGTGGGAAAAATACTAATGAGTATGCACTTTTGTTAAAAGAATTATTGAGTATCATTTTTGTTGAAAAACTTATTGAGTATGCATTTTTTGTCGAAAAAATTATGACGCGATGACCCACCTGATTGTTAGCCGCCATAAAGAAGAATTTGTGAACATTTTATTGTACACCAAGAATTCGTAATAACCACATCAATCATAATATCTGGAAAAAAAAAGAGCAACAACATAGTAACAGTAATAACAATAATGAAAACGAAAGAAAGAGAGACGAGTGTAGTTATTACAGTACCCATTTTCCAAGCCAGTAGGCAAATTCTGTGACTGAGAAAATGGAGTGTTGGAAAAAGATTGGGAATTGAGAGAAGGAATTGCTGAACAAGGCAACGGAGTCACGAGGGCCACAGCAACTGCCAAAGAGATTAGGTTTTTCGACCAATATTTGGACTTTGATTTCGGATTTGTATCGTAATCATGGGTATTGAGAGTACAGGCAATCGTACACCTTTTCAAAGGTAATGATAATAAAAGTGGTGAATTTGCAGAGGAAATATGAAGGCGAAGGTGACCCGACGCCATGTTTGGGAGTGGAGAGTAGAAAATTAGGAAAAATGGAAGATGAAAAATGTCACTATAGATATATATCAACAAATTTTGTATTTATTTAAACTAGTATTGTTGTTTTGCCCAAAAAAAAAATAAAAAAAAAGTTGTGATTAAATAAGAAAAAGTTATAAATATTTTTTTTTATTTCCTTTAGCTAATTTTTTTTCTTTAAAATTCGTGGTGATACATTTATTTTTATTTAGATAAGTGATATCATTAATTAATTCACATTTATTGATTAAATTTTTAAAAGTTTTCAATTAATTATTTTATTTCTATTTAATTTAATTTAATTTTATTTTAGTGATATGATATTAATAATTTGAGATTAAACTTAAACTAACCTGTCATTTGCTGAACCATCATGTAATTTATTATATTATAAAGAATCAAAATATGTATTATATGTATTGTTATAAAATATGGTAAACCAAAGAATAATATGTCAGAACCGCCATGTATATTATAAGTTTTAAAAAATATGTATAATATATGTTGTTACAAATTATGATGAAAAATCAACATCACTATGCATGTGATGGAGAAGATATCGTCTAGCATCATAGATTTATGATATATATTTATTCCAATTTACCCGTGTTATTATTCCTTTTATGTTTAGTATTTTATTGATAAGAAAATTGTTATTTATTAGCTTGCTTAGTGGACAAGTTATTATTAGGGTTGTAGGAACCTTATTTAAATGGCTCCTTCTCTTGGATGTTGGACAGTTGATATTTGAATAAAAAAAACACGTATTTGAGATTGAAATCCACGCTTCCCTACATCAGTTGATATTATAAGTCAGCATGATTCACGATGCTATCGCGAAGACAAGATGCTGCAGACGACATTCGTGACGCCTCCATCTACAACCTAAGCCGCAAGGCCGAGGGGTTTGGTGGTCGGCTCGAGATGATGGGTCATCAGATTGCGGATCTATCCGAAGATATTGGGGACGTACGTCTAACTCTCTATACCATGGTTCGGGACGAGCAAACGAATGCGACATGGCGGGGGCGGGGGGGAGGGGAGGTGATGGGTCTACTTCCAGATCTGGAGTGAACCGGTGGTAAAGAGCTCAGATCAGTTTGACCTTCGAACCGTTGCTAGACCGCGAGAACACCTGCAAAAACTCAACGCCGGAGGTGTTTCCGGCGTAGAGCCTCCGACGCTCAAGTCAGTATGAGAAGGATGAAGAGAGGCTGCACCGCAGCTATGAGGGAGAGTGGAGAATGAATGAGAGTTAGGGTTTAGGGTTACCTCACCTTCTTTATATAGGAGGAAATACTTACTTGAAGTTCCTAAAATGCCCCGGTCGGTTTACCTGAAAGGTCTAAGTTGCCCTAGTCGGTTCGTCTCCCCTTACTGCCGAGTCATGACAAGATTCCTTCTTTATCCATTGAAGGATAAGAGACTTTAAGAGATACCACAAGTATATCGAGTCATCAGTGTGTTTCGCGTCTCGAGGCACAAAGAGTCGACCTCGAGTGCCAGGAGATCGACTTGGGATTTTCTGCATATTCGGAGGCTACGCTCTTGTTGATCTTCTTAAGTAGAAGTCGACTTCTGGGAGTCGACTACATGAGGTCGACCTCTAGGAATCGACTTGCCTGGATTCCGTCTTTCCTCACGGTTATTCTCTAAAGGATCAACATTATCGAAGTCGATTTAGGTGTGTCGACTGACATATGTCGACTTCGAGGAGTTGACTTACATGGATTTCGCCCTTCTCTCATAGTTGTTTTGTTTAGGAGTCGACTTAGATATGTTGACGTGAATACGTCGACACGTGGCCGGTCTAGCCGATCATCTAGTCGAGTAAGAGTCCTCCGGCCGGTAGGTAACGATATGGCTATATCAGGAGGTGTGTTGTTAAATTNCGGACTAGAGCTGAAGAGTAAATTTGGTAATCCATTGCTTCTATTACCTTTGCTCGTCATTCTCTTCCCGACATCGAGGTTCTCTTTGGCGTCCTTGCTCGATTCGTCCTCGCTATACTTATTTGATCTGGATCGTGATTTCTCCTTTATTCCGTTGCCTGTAACTCGTCTCGTCATCTCATGGGATTGTTGGGAGATCTCATGATTGTTTTCCGGATAAGTCTGACATGATGACGTCTTTTCAAATTTTGAATTTCAAACCCGAATCTGATGTGTCGCTTCAGTGCGGTCGCCTTGAATTTCGTGGCTCATCCGGACCGTTAGATCTCTGTTTAATCTAAGGATCAAGATTCATCTTTATTCTTTATAATATCCTTTCCCTCGGTCCCAAATCACTTTTCACTTCCCAAATTCTCTCTTGAGTTCTCAAATTTCTCTGGCAATTAAGGCGCTCCCGAGCTTCATCGGCAATCAGTTTTCCGGCAACCACCAACTTCTTCAAGGCTTTCTCCGCCACAATCATGTGTAAGTACAGTGTCTTCTCAACATCTTTTGCTTTTTACTTACTTTACTCTTCGCGATTTCCTGAATTTTTTTCTGGGTTTCTGAGTTTGAAAACCTTGAATGTTCTTTATGTTCTTCAACTTTTTTGTATGGGTTTTTCATTTGATCTTTCTCGCTTGCATTTTCCTTGGATTCCCCGTTTGCCCCTTCTTTGCTACCTATCGATTTTTGGTACAGAGTCGATTCACACTTTAGGTCGACTTTTAGGTTTGATTCTTTTCGAGATTCATCGCATTATCTCGTCTTCGAGACTAAGATGGGTCGAGAACCCTCGTGGCTTATCTTTTGTATCGAAGCCACTAGATCACGATTACCCTTCCATATTCCTTCTTCGACTTGCCTTATGACGACTTTTGCAAGTCAATTTTTTTGCTTTATTAATTGCGCTTACTGATCTCGACTTCCTCTTCTTCTTACTCTTCTAGATTCTGATTCCGACTATTCGCCTGATACCGTTGAACGTTTGATCGACAAAGGTCCTCAATCGTCCAATTTTGTACAAGTAGTCGGCTTCAAACCGGCTGATCAATCACAAAATTCTCCTCATTCGAATGTATCTTCTTTCGGTATTGATCAAGATGCTTATAACCAAGCGTGGATGTTGTGTGTCTTGATGGAGGATCCCGAGTCTTCCATTAGCTAAGTTAGCTGTTCTAAATCCTTTTTGTTATGCCTCTACAGCCGAGGTTGAGGGCTTTAGGGTGTTCAACGGTCTTCCCGCCGACTGGGAACTGGTCGTTCCCAAACCCAATGATGACTTCGCTAATCCCCCACCTGGCTTTTACACCTTTTTTATCGACCAAGTGCTGTTCGGTCTTCGCTTCCCGATTCAACTTGAACTTCGAGCTATTAGTGATTTGTACGATGTCCCCATAAATCAATTTTCTCCTAATGCGATTCGCATCATGATCGCCTTCATTGTTGTCTCCAGAATAAAACTTAAATATTTTTCTCCAGAGTTTCTTTTTTACTGTTATAGCTATCGATTCATAAAAGACGCCCATTGCCTGGGTCGTCGTGCTGGTGTCACCTTTCTTGATGACCTCTCTTCGAATGTAACTAAGTGAAAATCGAAGTTTGTTTTTATTCGACCTGCTTCTGGTAAATATCCATACCCAAACACTTGGATTACCTCCAAGGTTAAACAAAATAAACGGCCACGGTGCGACAAGTTTGAGTCGATGCTGGCCGAGCTCAATAAACACACTTACAAAGCTCGTCTATTGATCAAAGAGATGTCCCTTTTTAACCATGTCGGCCTCGTTGTCGACGAGGATGTTCCTCGTCTCGACGACCCTCGTAAGTCCGATTTCCATGTTTTCTTTATTTGAAGTCTTTATGCCGATATGACTGATACTTTTGAATTTGTTTGCAGATTCCGTTCTTGCTCGCTTTGAGAAGGCAAAAAGCGATGGGAAGTCCACTGCTCGGCCTACCCCTCCGAAGAAACCCGATGGCGGTTCAGGATCGGGTGTGAAAGAGGCGGCAGTCGAGAAGACTGTCGTCAAGAAGTCGAAGGTAGTGCTCCCGCCCTCGGGAAGTCAAAAAAAATCCTCGGTCTCGTTTCCCCGAAAGCAGGCTCAAGACGCAGTCGACGTCACTCTTGTCCCTAGCTCGCTCAAGCGTCAGAAGACTAAGGACAAGGGCAAGGCCGTCGAGAAAGCTCCTCCTCCAGGCCAGCTTGAGACAGTCACCCTCAAAAGGCCCTCTCGACTTTGGGACCACCCTCACCCTCATAAGATCGCTAAATACTTCGACTACATCATTCCAGCTGCTGACAAGGCCCGTGTCGATCGTGATCCTTATGATTGTGCTAGTCGTGCTCTACTATGCTTTTCTCAGGTAATTTTTTTTATCTTTGGTTTCAGTCGATTGTATTTACTTGAGCTTTAATTCTGTCCTTGACTTCGTTTATTCATGGCTCTCTTCAGTTCATGGCATTTATCATGCCCTCTCTCCTCGAAGACACCAGCTCGCCTGACTCCAACATCCGGGTTTACAAGAAGAAGTATGAGGACCAACTTCTAGAGCTCGAGAAGAAAGATGACGACTTTGTTGCCGCCAATGCTCTGATTGCAAAACTTAAGACCAAGAAAGCTGCGGCCCTCTCGACAGTCGACCAGCTGAGGGCCGATTTGGAAAAGGCTGTCGACGACAGCTTGGTCGAGAGGGAGGCAAGAGTACTCGAGGGGCGTCGGACCTTCCTCAAGTCTCCAGTCGGTTCTGTGTTCCTCGAGCACTACCGTCAAGAGGCTATCAAGCTCTTCTGTAATTCTCCTGCCTTTCTCGACATGCTGTGTCCCGCGACGCTACAGTATTTCAACTTTACTTTCGACGCATGGGAGAAGGCCGTGGAGAGTACTGAGTGTGCTAGTATGCTCGACCGCGAAGCGGTTAAAATGACCCTTCCCTTCCCCGATAGCTATAGGGGTGACACGACTCTTCCCGCGGATCACCCGTGGTGGGTCGGCCTCGAGGCGAGAGCCATTCGCAAGGCAGGGCTGAGTGGTCGGCTCGAAGTTCCCCCCGCTCCTTTGGCTGGTCTGACCGAACTAGTCGGGTTAAATG